CAGTATTTAATTGACTGTGATTGATATTCCTTTACATTTATGAGATGTATACAGGTTGATTAACTCATCATTTGCCTGAAGTAGCATCCCCTCCAGTCATTCTGCCCCCATCCCACAGCATTCCACTGTACCCGCCACGTGCTTTCCTAGTGCTGTACCTCAAATCTCACTCTGCCACCTTCCTGCTAAGCTTCAGGACTTTCCCAGTGCCTGTGAGCAGAACAGGGTAATGGAGCCTTGGGATATAGTCCAAGGAAGCCACAGTAACCACATTTATCTGAGTAGCAGTGTTTTATCTTAACAATTCATTCGTTTTTGCATTATTTTCCAGCCTGTGCTAGTGTTACTACAAAAATGTTTTAAATTGCTTACCAGAAACAAAATTGATGCTCAAGAAGGGCTTCCAAATGATATTCTTTGACATACCTTAGTATACATTTTCCCATGTGAGAGACATAAGTCCATAATATCAAGTCAAAATTGCTTAGCCTAAAGCCCTTCCATAACTCCTCTGGAGTCGAGGAATCCTTTTTTGTAAAGGGTAGTGTCTTCTCAGAATGGGATCTAACCCAGTCGAAAGTTCCATGGTAGTGCAAATTAAACTACTAAAAAAGAGAAACCAGCTGTATTTAGATTATTGTTTTGGTTCTTGATTAAAGTCAGCAGGAGTGTTTGGTGGACTATACCATTAGGACATAAACATGAGAAGTCTGAAGGCCACACTGGAGAGAGCTTCTTCGGGTTTAACAAAGGAGTCAAAAACGCACGCACTTTGTACGATTTCTTTAGAACCTGCCCCATATGTACTATTTCTATCAGTTTCCCATTGTGATTTATTAAACAAACAAATGTATATGGAGCACATATGTGCCAGACACTGTTTTAGGCACTGTGTATCGAACAGTAAATAGGATAGATGAGAGTCCTATTCTCTATTCCATGTCACAGGGAGGCGACAGATGAAAAACAAAGAAGAAAATTAATCATTTTCATATGCAGAATTAAAACAATGATAAGATAGGCTGGTTGTTGTGACTCACGCCTGTAATCCCAACACTTTGGGAGGCCAAGGTGGGCGGATCGCTTGAGGTCAGGCATTCAAGACCATCCTGGCCAATGTGGCAAAACGTCGTCTCTACTAAAAATATAAAAATCAGCTGGTTGTGTTGGCGCGCCCCTGTAGTTCCAGCTACTCAGAAGGCTGAGGTGGGAGAATCGCTTGAACCTGGGAGGCGGAAGTTGCATGAGAGGAGATGACATCATTGCACTGCAGCGTGGCCAACAGAATGAGACTCTATCACAAAAAAAAAAAAAAGAGAGAGAGAGTTACATGATAACTCTTAAATTGCGTGTCAAAAAAGGCAGCTGAGAGGAGTAGATCTAAAAATGTTTTAAATAAAAATGTATTATGGAACGAAACTCTTTTTAAATAAAAAAATTTTAGGATAATCTTATTCCGTGATCAGTCTTGAAGGAAACAAGCAGGGAAAGCAGGAGGTGGTTTGCTATAAAAAAAAAGAAAAGAAAAGAAAATGGCCCTAGGCTCTGTTGGGTTTTCCTAGCAGGGAATTGTATCTAGCTCAGAACATTGTCTTTCATCAGCCCTTTTAGGATTTCAGATGCTCAAATATAACATGGGTTATTGTAAAGTAATTAGGCAGATTTTTTGAAAAGCATGTAAGAGCGTATATAAAAATAATTTTTCTTCCCATGTCCCCTTTGGTAAGGGCTGTACACTTATTTAAATGATGCTGCCATTGTTCAAAATAGCTTTGGACCTTTGGATCTGTCTTTCAGAATTTGCTTCCTAAGCCATTTAGAAGCTACTAGCAAAATCATTTTCTTTTAATTTTGTTATCTCTCCCTGTCCTCTTTGTGTTTAAGCTTTACTGATCTTAGGTTCCTTTTTGCTTGCTGCAGAGGGTCCCTAGGACCATTATGGTCCCAGGCTGTAGCTAAGAGAATGATAGGAAAACTGAGTTTGTGTATTAGCTGGGATCCAGTCAGGGGAGAGGAATCAGAGGGCAATTTAGACAGGAAAAGTGTAATATAATTATAATATAAGTTATGCCAGGAGATTGAGTAACAAGGGACTGGCTAGTAAGAAATAAAGATAACTCTAAAGAATATTGGCCAGGCATGGTGGCTCACACCTGTAATCCCAGCACTTTGGGAGGCCGAGTCAGGTGGATCATTTGAGGTTAGGAGTTCGACACCAGCCTGGCCAACATGGTGTGAAACCCCGTCTCTACAAAAAGTACAAAAATAAGCCGAGCGGTAGTGGCGCGTGCCTGTAATTCCAGCTACTTAAGAGGCTGAGGCAGGAGAATCGCTTGAACCCAGGAGGTGGAGATTTCAGTGAGCCAAGATCATGCCATTGAACTCCTGTCTGGGTAACAGAGTGAGACTCTGTCTCAAAAGTAAAAAAAGAGGGAATTGATGAAGCCATTTATGGGAGGTGTCCCAACAGAAGCACTCTGCTACAAAACGGCTCAGGGTGAGGGAAGTACTGAGGAAACTGCTGGTCACTGGGTGCTGGGAGCATCATGCGTCCCAGGAGCCAAGTGCTGGAGAACAGGCGCCTGCCAAGTGAGCACACCAGAACAGAGAAGAAAAAACCCTTCCTCCTACGCGGTCTCTTCAGTGCCCTTTCCTGACAAAGTTTAATGCTATGCCAGGTAGCAAAGGAAAAGTATTTTAAGGACACAGGTTCATTTTCACAGAGCAAGGAATTAAGGGTGAATTTGCACATGGAAGGCCATAAATGAATAATTGGCACAGTTTATAAAATACAGTTTTACATGATGCACTTAAGGAGTCAAACTAACATGCTTTTTGGAGCTACCTGCTTGCTATAACTAATATAAAAACTGATAACATCCTTAATGGAAAGAAAAGCTTGGTCAAATTGTCATTGCACCATAGCTCCAGAAGGAAAAAATAGGTCAAATTATGACTATGTATGTATATACACATGTGAGATATCGATATATCTGGACCTAGAAATATAGATACAGGTATCTTTCTGACATAACGCTATTGGTATAAGGGTGCCAACACAACTTTCATGGAAAGACCTATCATTTTTTCTGATATTATATTCACTTTACTGTTTGGGTTTTCAAATGGCCATAATATTTTTAGTACCTTAGTGAAATAATGATTATATTTGAAGATAGATTTTGTTGTTGTGGCTGTTTTGTCTTAAAATGTTTCCTACTTGACAAAAAAAAAAAAGAGTTAATCCTGTGTCACTATCCCTTTCCTTTTTAAAAATCATACTGGTCTATGAAAATCAAATATGGAAACCATTATAGCCAACTAACAATGTATAACTATAAATTGTGGAAAATCACTATAACCCTTTTGTGAAATATACAAGAAGTTGTTTTGCATTTAGAAACCAAAAACCAATTGTCACCTGATGCTCAACAACAAGGAGATACCAATTCATCAATGGAACTTAATAGCCAGGGTCATATACTGTATATTCTTTGTCTCTGCTTAAACTAACCATTCCCAGGTGTCACTATCACTGTTTTTCAGATGACGAAAACCAGATGGAGTCAAATAATTGTTTTTCAAAATACTGTAGTTGGTAAATAGCAGAGCTGAGAGTTAAGTAGGAGTCTGAATGGCTCCAAAATGTTTCAGGATTTAAATAGACATCTGACTGCCTCCAAAAACCTTTCAATGTCTAGAGAAAGATAAAAACTGAATTAAGGGTTACAAAATGGGATTTTCGAAAAATAAAGACCAAAATATTATACACTTATATATTTTATGTTTCCTAGAGAAAGGAAATGTAAAAAGAAACTTCATAACTTGTTTTCAAATGTATATATGAATATAATGTATGTAAAATGAATATAATATATGTAAAACTCAGTAACTGTTTTCATTTCCACCAAAGCAAATATAAGTGCAGCAGAGTATACCAAAGCAAGCAGAAAAGTCCCTATGAATTGTTAATACACATTGGTGTATCAGGAAGGAATGTGCTTGTTGTAGATTTGAGGACAGTAGCTTAATCAAATATAGATTATTACATGGTAACCAGAAGTCCAGATATGGATAGTTGCTGTGATTGTTTCAGTAGCTCAATATTAGAGCCAACTTTGGCCTTCTCTCATAGTTACACAATTGCTGCTACAGTTTCAGCCATCACATCTCCATTCAAGCAGGAAGGGCAAAGTGGTATGCCAGCTACCTATGACTCATTTCATCAGCTTTTCTCAAACATCCTCAACTGCTTTTGGTTTTGATCTCATTAACCAGTGCTTGGCCTAATGTCCTTCCATAAAGTTACAAGGGAATGTGGGGAAGCAGGGAATAACATTGTCATGATTGGCTTAGACCATGGGTCAGCGAAACTCTGTCCTGGGGGCCAAATTCAGCTCATACTTGTTGTAAATAAAATTTTGTTGGAACACCTCCATGCCCCTTTATTTACACATTGTCTATGGCTCCTTTCATGTTACAATGGCAAAACTGAGTAGTTGCAACTGAGACCATATAGCCTGCAAAGACTGAATATATTTACTCTCCGGCCTTTTACAGAAAAGTTTGTTGACCCCTGGATTAAACCAATCATGATCCTTCGCCTGGGGTGGACCATATGGACACTTTGTGGGTAGCTGGGCTGCCATTAAGCAAGAAAGGGGAGAAAGGATATTGGAAAGAACCAACAATATATGTCTCACAGGTGGTCACCTGGTCCAATTAATTATATACAAGAACGAAAAGTGATCATATATTTTTGGTTTTAAGTCACAGAGTCTCTTTGAATATGTTTTTCTACTCCTTCTTTTCCTCAAGACCCAACTGAGACAATTTAGAAAGGCAGAAATTTTGCAAATGCACAGTATCAAATTATTGACAGCGTTGTGACAGACAGTGAATTCATTTCTAGTTTTCTGACTTTTACTAAGATACTGTCAGAGAAGATCTGAAATCCATATTTTATTGATTGACACTTCCCTTTAAACTGTTTATTTTAGGTTCTTGCATACACTGAGGGACTTCACGGAAAATGGATGTTCAGCGAGATACGAGCTGTATTTTCAAGACGTTACCTTCTACAAAACACTGCTCTGGAAGTATTTATGGCAAACCGAAGTAAGTCCACTTAAATATTTTGAAAGAAAATGTGCTCATATTTATGTATTATTCATTTACATGGTATGATAATGTCTTGATTTTTCCCACTGTATTTCTGATATGCTTTAGCTTAAACAAACATAAATTCTTTTTAGAAAATAAAAAAGAATGAATTTGTTTGAAATGTGAACCCATTTGTTTCTCATGAATAAAGTTATACTGAAAGCTGATTTTTCATGAAGATTCATTACCTTTACAAATAAATCATGATAGGCACTTGAAGATGACTTGTAAAATTGATGGCTAACTTTCCTGTGGTTTTCTAAACCCTGTTTTTTTCTTCTTACCACAGCCTCAGTTATGTTTAATTTCCCTGATCAAGCAACAGTAAAAAAAGTTGTCTATAGCTTGCCTCGGGTTGGAGTAGGGACCAGCTATGGTTTGCCACAAGCCAGGTAATTATATCATATTACATATTATCTATGGCTTGTTAACATATTTCAATCTCAATATTACAGCAATGTAAATGTGGTTATAACATTGTAATTATTTCAGAGACCAAAGAATTTTCTTTCTCTGAAGGTTATTTGTAGGGATAGAGATTATGAAAATAGCTATTTTGAGAATGACAGAATGGTTAGGGCAGATTTTTACTTAATACATATAAATAAGAAAGTAAAAAACTTGATTGCATATCATAGCTAGCATATAGTTAAGACATTCTTGCTTGTTAAAATCTTACAGGAAACATAGCAAAAGCCTCAAGATCATAAATGATTAATTGCTATGTAATAGCATATAAATGTTTTTATAAATGCCATGTATAAATGCTTCTTCATTAAAGCAATAAAACCCTTAGAGTTTATTAAGTGTAATAGTCATTAATTATGGTATACTGGTAACCACATTTCCTAGATTTTCATCTTGGTATTTTAGAAGAATCATTTTGAAATCTTATATTATTAAAAGATACTAATGTAAGTAGAAAACGTAATCAGTAGTTATTCATATTGCTGATATCAGTTTGTCTGTTTTTGGCTCCAAATAACTGAATACCTGACTGAAAATGACTTAAACAATAGGGATATTTTGGTGTGTGTGTGTGTTTAATATAAAAGATCTGGCGTTAAGGTGCTGCCGGTATTGGTTCAGAGGTTCAGTGATGTCAGAACTCTATTGGCTTTGTGTTCACAAAATCACCACTGCTTCTCCAGCTACTACATCTTCACACAACTGCATTACAGTAGGAAAAAGACACAAAGGATTTCTCTTCAAGCTTCTCTGTTTTAGGAAGGAATGTATTTCTCAGAAGCCTAGAGCAATCTTTATCTCAAGTCCCTTTGGCCAGAATACAGTCACCTTCCCATTCCTAAAACAATCACCGCCAGAGAGGTGTGAGTTCCGTTGGCTTAGCCCAGTCATTCCCTAGGTTTTATGGAAAAAAGATGCCACTGATTCTTTGCCAGCTCTTGTTTTTTTGTGGTTTTTTTTTTTGAGCGGGGGTGGAGGGGGACGGAGTCTCGCTCTGCCGCCCAGGCTGGAGTGCAGTGGCACGATCTCTACTCACTGCAAGCCCCGTCTCCCGGGTTCACACCATTCTCCTGCCTCAGCCTCCTGAGTAGCTGGGACTACAAGCGCCGTCACCACCACACCTGGCTAATTTTTTGTATTTTTAGTAGAAACGGGGTTTCACCGTGTTAGCCAGGGTGGTCTCGATCTCCTGACCTCGTGATCCGCCCGCCTCGGCCTCCCAAAGTGCTGGGATTACAAGCAAGAGCCACCGCGCCTGGCCTTCTTTGCCAGCTCTTACATGAACAAAAGAAGATTTCTGTGGATGAGGAACAAAGGGAGATTGGCTTTAGGTAGATACCACAGTGTCTACCACATAGATTGTTATGTCCTTGAGAATTATTGCACAGCACTGTATGGATGGAAAGGAAAACTAATCTTTGTCTATCCTCCCTTAAATAGGCTACAGACATTTGAAAGACAGGGACTGTGTTTGATTTATCCTTTGATCTACAGAACCTAACACAGTGCCTAATTGCAGCAGTGCGTTTAAAGTGCTATTCAGCTAGGGTTACGTTGTATTGCAACTTAATCTATTCTCTTGAAGCTTACAGTGTAAGACCAATTCACTGACATGTATACACATGCTCAAGATATTTGCTAGTAGAACGACAAGATTAAACTAAGATATTAGTAGATAATGAAGCACTTATATAAAATACAGGTCAAAGAAAAATGCATTTCATCTATCAAAGAAAATGAGGTTAGTTCTGCAAGACTTGTTCTTATTGAATCTAAGCTGACTCATAATAATCATTACTTCCTTTCCCAAATGCTTACATACTATTTGTTTAGTCATCAATTTAAGAATTTACTCAGGAATTGACATTAAGAACTTACGAATGGGTCTAACTTTTTCCTTTTTAAGAGTAATCTCCTGTCTTCTGGCATATTTCTCAATGATTCCTGAAAGATTACTAATAGAGGTTTCTATATGGCATGTATAATTTCCCTCAGTATTCTTTGACTTGTCTGGACTGGAATTAATTTAAAACAATCAGAAGCTCTTTTACTATATTTCTTACCTATTAGGAGTATTGTTTCCCCTTTAACCACATTTGGTCTCTTTTTGACATTTGGAAGATCATTCTTTTTTTTTTTTTTTTTTTTTTTTGAGACAAGGTCTCACTATGTCACCCAGGCTGGAGTGCAGTGGCATGATGTCAGCTCACCACAGCCTTGATGTCCCCAGACTCAGCAGATCCTCCCACCTCAGCTTCCCAAGTAACTGGGAATACAGACATATGCCACCACACCCAGCTAATTTTTGTATTTTTTGTAGAGACGGGGTTTCACCATGTTGTCCAGGCTGGTCTCGAACTCCTGGACTCAAGCAATCCACCCACTTCAGCCTCCCAAAGTGCTGGGATTACAGGCAAGAGCCACCATGCCCAGCTGGAAGATCATTCTCTGTAAGAAAACTGAAAACAAAAGAGCGGTTCAGTAGTTTTGGTCTCTCTGTAATTCATAATGCCATTCTATCTTTAAACATCATTTTTTTGTCCTTGGCTTGTTTTCCCCCCAAAAGCTCAACTAATTATTAGTTTCCTAATAATATTCTTACAGACTCAGTTTTATATACTTCCCTAGATATACATCCTTAGAAGTACCAAGTGGCAATGGGGAGACCCTGCATCTAGGCTTAAACCTGTCACTTAACTGGGTAACAATACGCAAGCCTCACACTTACTAGGAATTCAATAAATATTGGTTGAAAGAATGAATAACACTACTCAAGCAGAATGGCACTCTTATCTACCATAAAATGCAGAAAATATCTTTGCAAGAGATATTTTGATAATCTTTTGTGCTATGTACAAGACAATGCCTATTAAGATTCCATGTGAATACTCATGTTAATAATCCATGAGTAACAGAAATAGCCTTAAGTCTGTTCCCAAACTGAACACCAAGGCGTTCTGAGATATCACAGTGAATTCCCAGGGGTACTGCAGGGCATTTGTTAATTGTTTAGGGAAAAACAGCAACATTTGTCAGATACCACACAAAGTATTTGCTCGAGTTAGTTCCAAGTTTCAACTTAGAATGATTAGATAGGGCTGCATTTTTTTTCAGTGACACCTCTGAGAAACTGGTGTTTGGTGGCTACTGTTTTCAAAAACAAGAGCCACATGAAAAATCAGTGTGGAACAGGAAATGAATGTGATGGTGTCAGATCTGATTCCAAGGTTTCAGAAGCTGTGCAGTGTCCAACAGACATACACACCCCATTAGTAAATGTGGTTATTTAAGAATGAAATATAAATATTTCTCTTTAAGTTTATGAGTATTGTGTTTTCAAACAGCTACTCAGTTGTTGAGATGTTAAATATTTATTGAGTTGTTTAGAGCTAACTACTTAATAAACACAATTGTAAGATATTTCTCTTGGCCAAGGAGCACTATGAAAAATTATGGAGATACTAAGGGTGCCATGAATTGAAAAAGTTTGAGAACCCCTGTCAATCAGTTTAAAAACCCAATAGCTTTATCATACTTTTCTAAATACAACGGCTTTCATTATTTTTAGATGAACATGTTGAACCTGGAAAGTTTCATAATTTGGACAAATTATCATGGTTTATTCCCTTAGGCTGTTCCTATGTCCCTTCTTCTGGACTCATGCATTTTTTCAAAGTTCCCAGTTGTTTATATTTTACACCATTGCAGGGATATTGTACAGGCAGATGCTGTGCGTGTGTGCACACTCTGTGTGTGAAGGCAAGTCTAAAATGTTCATTGACAGACATTAAGTCAAATGCATGTAAGCAGTTACCTGACTACCTATCTACCTACCTAGTTGACATGGAGCAGATTTGCTGTATTATTTAAAAACTACTTGATTTATCTTAAGTATAGTTTTACTTTTTTTTCTTGTTGATTTGTAAAATGCTCATTTGTAGCTATGATTTTACAAGTAAGGTTGCTTTCGAACTGTTTTATACTGAGTAATTAAGTGTATCTTCTCCATAATGGAATTCTCAAATATTGCTAATTTCTACAATTAAAATATATTTTCTAATTCATCTAAGAATGATAAACCATAAATTATTTTAAATTGATTACCAAACTAATATATTAATACTGGATTTTTTAAAATTAAGAATTAAAGAGACTATGTTTGTTATGCTATGCTTAATTGCTAGGAGGATATCATTGGCCACTCCTCGACAGCTTTATAAATCTTCCAATATGACTCAGCGCTGGCAAAGAAGGGAAATTTCAAACTTCGAATATTTGATGTTCCTTAATACGATTGCAGGTAAGATGTCTCATTCTTTAATCTAATAATATGTTTATGTTCATCAAAATCATGGTAATGTAGCCTGATATAATACATTTTTCTCTTTGGAATTCAAATGCAGCATTAGAGAAAATTTTGAAGCACTCACATTAAATTTTATCAGAAACTGTACAAGCTTATACCAAACTCTTAGATGCATTTATCGTTGAAGAGGCTTTTCCTTGCTCTCCTTCTGCCATTTCCTTTGCTGACAGCTTTGTCTGAAGGTTTATTAGAGTCAACAAACCATTGCCAGAGTGTCTGGAAATAATAATGGGAAAAGTAATTTCACTACTTTGTCATTCTCAGCAATAGCAGCTAGACAGGAGAATAACAACAGGTTTCTGCCTAGTACAGATGTCACCTGGATTATGGCATGATTAGGTTACAGCATCTTTTTTTCTTAAAATCTGCAAATAAAAATACAAAATCAGATTACATTTTCTAAATTATGAGTAACTGCCATCAACCTCCACAGTACCACGCTTGCAAATCAAAAGGAGGTAGTGGCTTTGTTTTCTGCTAAATCAGTGGTTGTCGGTGGTTAAACATGTCTATGAGATTTAAGTACTTCATCTTTTTTCTTAAGCTCCAAAAGCCCTTATTCATGATGAATTACAAAGAGTTTACTTCTATAAACCAGGCTCTACAAAAAGTTTTTGCAATTAGATGAATTTAAATAACCACATAAATAAAGATGCTTACGGTAATTATTGTTTTGTTTTGAATGAATGTTCACAATCGTGTATTTAGAGCAGTGTTCTTCTCTGAATCATTACTTTAAAAATATAACTATGTAATATTACTCTTTTTTAATCTATCATACATAAGTGTGACTGTAGATACTATAGGTATATATTAAATATGGGTAAATAGATACATATTAAATAGACAAAACTTGATTTGTCCACAAAAGGGAATAAAGCTATTTGATATATTAAAATGCTTTTTCATTTTAATACCAATACATTCATGTATATATGTTCATATATACATGCATTTATTCATATGTGTAGTATACACACATATATATCTTGAATAAACCTGTTTACTCCCTCAAAGATAAAAGAAATGTATTGTACTATTAAATTAGCATATTATTTATAAATAGAATGAATTTAAACATCTGAAATGTAAAGAACTTAATTTCATTAGCATATTTAAGTAAATAGCATGGTGTAGCAGAAAGAACGTAACTTTCAGCACCAAAGAGAAGAGAGATAGAATCCCAGATCTGCCAACTTTCTGTCCTGGAGCATAAGTTGAATTTTAACTTTTAACTCTATCTTGGACTTTTAATCTTTTAATATCAATATTTAATATGTTTACATCTGTTGTAATAACTGGTATGTTTGGTCTTATATCATCTTGTTTTATACTAATTTTTAATGTTCTCTTGCTTTTTATGTTGTTTGTTCTCTGGCTATACGAATGCTTTTTTGTTCAGTGATATTGTGATTTAAAATATAAACATCTTGTTATTAATTCTCCTAGAGATATTACATTTTTAAAAGCCTTATAAACTATACTTTTCTTAATTTGAACTCAAAAATGAATTACCATTTTTAAATGATACGTGAGTAAGACAAAAACCCCAACTCAATTTTATTTCTCATTCATTGTTTATCTTTGCAAATATAAATTACTAGCCAGAATCCAGGTTATTGTTAGCTTCATACTCTGGGTTCTCCGTCTTTTTGCAAATTAAGAAAGATTTCAAACTATTGAAATTATGTGTTCATGCAGTGTATTATTTTCAGCTGTATGGATCTTTACCTGATTTGGGGGGATGATATTCTCTGTACGTTCTTGTGTAACATTTTTCCATATTCCCTGTATTAGGTTTTTGTATTATCTGCTCTTGAGAGACCTATCAAGACTTAGTATCATTAGACACCGTTAGATGTACTTACGGATTTTTTTCCCTTGGCTGTGCTAGCTATTTGGAACTGTTCGATATAAAACTGGAGGGCAGGGTGATATACCTCACTTCCAGTTCAGTTTCCAATGTAGCAGGCAATCATATTAAATGGTTTTGCTATTCTAAAATGAGATTTTCTCCAGGCTCTGGATGGAATGTTTTCCAGTTCATTGTTGTAAAGGTCTCTTCTAGTCTCCATCCCTTCCCACTGCATTTTACTCATGTCAGGTCAATTTCCCACAGTGTGGTACAGTACCACCTAACTACTACCTACTTCATGCCTGTTACTCTCTGGGAGTCTCTTTATCTGTCCAACTCTGGAAAGGCTGCTGTGTCTAAATCTGGGTGAGATAACATTGTCATCCCTTCTAAAAGTTGCACCTGAGCAGTATAAAGCCTAATATGCTTTTTTCTATTTGGGACAATCTTTGGGTTTCTGAGCCAGAGCATGCAGACTATCATGGGAATTAAAAAGCATCTTTCTATTCTTTTTTGAATCATTGAAGTCTGCTTTATTTATAACATGAAGATTATATAGGCCACTGATTTTTTCAAAACTTGCTGGGTACTTCCTTTGCAATTATTGTAACTAAACATGAAAGCCTCACTATTGTAAGCAATGGGATAAAAATTAACAATAGGGACTAGGAGCACAGAACACTTACAGTCTAGATGAATTAGTGAAATACACATAAATAAGACATTTTAGGACGGCTGATAGTAAATGCTGAGTCATTGCTACAGTGAATGCTGCATGAGCTCAGCAGAGGGGAGGTATTTTAAAATGTGTTTGGGGAGAAAAAAACAGAAGAGCTTCACAAATTTCTGCCAGTTGTATATATATGGTGTGTTCAGTGGACAGAATTATCATACCTTGTCTGGAGTAGAGAATTATATATAATATTGGAGCCTTAGAGAAGAGCCAGATTTATAAAGAGGTTTTTAGGAGTCAGTATAGTTTTGGAGTAGAAGGGAATGCGATGTGGAGCTTTAGGAAAATTAAACTGATAATTATGTATGGCATAAATCAAAATTGAGATTCCTTGGCATTAGTGCTATAAGGAGAGTATTACGGTAGTAATAGTAAATCGTTACTGAATATTTACTATGTACCACATATTCTAATTTTCTCTGACTACAGAAGCAAGTAAAGTATGGTTTCTGCCTTTAAAAAGACGTAATATAGTGAAGAAACACATGTATACCAGTAATTCCACTAAAAAGTATTAGAATGAGGAAACAGATATGTATACCAGTAATTCCATTAAAATGTATTAGAATATATAAAATTGTGTGCAATTTTATAATGTATAAAAAGTATTATAATGGGAGTATATGTGAAGCCATTTGCAGTAGTCAAATCTAGAAGCCATTATTTATAACTAAGAGATCAGAAAAAGCTTCCCATAGGTGACATTTAAATTGGGAATTGAAATATGGTTAAGAATTCACTAGGAAGTAGGCAGAGGGCATTCCAAGAAGAAAATGTGAGGTGAAGATTTTGGATGAGTATAGTGGCAGCAGGTATGGCAAAAAGAGAGTAAATGACACTTTGTACAATATCATTATACAAAAAAGTTTCACTGTAATTTGCTGTAGTTCAGTGGTTATCAAAATGTAGTCCCCTGACCTGCATTATTACCTTGGAGACCTGTTAGAGATGCTGATCCTCAGACTCCTCCTCAAACCTAGTGAATCAGAAGCTGGCAACCTGCCTTTCAGCAAGCCCTCCAGTTGGTTCTGATACAAAAAGTTTGAGCACAATTGCATTAGCCATTTAAGATCTAATTATCAGGACAAGATTTGCATATAAAACGTTTAAAACATACAAGAAAGTACAGGATTAACTGCCATTCAGTGTAGTACAAGTTTAGAGAAGTGAGAGATTAATATGAAATAGTCTACTCGAGGAAACCTTCTTGGAAAAGATGAGCTTTAAATGAACTCTTCAAGGATTTTGTCAGATGTGGATGACTATCCAGGCAAAATAAACCTTAATAAGTAGAATGACAATTGAAAAAAATTATGAATATGGATATCCTGAAGTACTCTCCCTGGATATATTCCTATTAATTTAATTCTTCCTGTGCCATCATCCTGAAACTAAATAGGAATGCCAGTTTAAACTGAGCACCAGCATTAAAGACATGGGTGATGGTTTTATTAGAGAAGCTTCACTAATGCCGTGATTGAATACTTGTTAGTGCAGCAATTAGATTTGCCTGTTTTCCTGATTGGTGGACAGTGTGTATCCATTCATCTCTTCTTATCAAATCACCCTTCAGAGTTCTCTTATGATCCTAAAATAAAGGGTGCTCTAAAGATGTTAAGTTGTACCAGTATCACTTCAACGAACATGGGTCCTAAAATAATCATACTAGTTTATAACACTGTTTTAGGGATACAGTTATTGTTCAGGAAATATTTATTTCATTTGATTGATTGAAACTTAAGATTTATTGTTTCTAGATAGGATTTTAGTCTTCTTTTTGACGAACTGTAATTCTTAGGTAATCTAAAGCCAAGAAATGGTTGGCTTATATTTTGTCATAATATTTTTAAACATTTTTATTTGATATCAAGATTGAGAAAAAATAATAGTATTTTTATTATGTCTTTGTTTTGTTTTTTTCCTACTGAAACATTTCTTTGTTAATAATAAGAACTCAGAAAACATGGAAAGTAAGTTTATGATTATTCAGTGATTTATAATGTGCCAAACATTGTTCTAAGGTCTTTATGTGTATTTGCTCATCTAATCCTCACAATAGCCCCATGAGTTAGGTTCTGTTCTTATCCCTATTTTACAAAGAGATGAGGTAGAGAGTAGCTAAATAACTTGGCCCGAGTCATAGGGCTAATAAGTGACAAAGTCGGGATTCAAACCTGGGCAGTTTAGCTCCAGTGTTTTCATTCAGTTACTACGGCATACTGTTCCAGGATATTCCTGGTACCATACAACTTCACCTTCAGTCACCAGCCTTAACTTATTAACTGCTTTTAAAACCTAAATAATTAATGATTTAAAACAATTTTGTCATTTTCTTTTACATTTCAT